TACATTGTATTTTCATTTTCACTCAGTTCAAAATATTTCCTACTTTCCCTTGAGTGTTCCTCCTTTATGTATAGGTTGGTTTGGAATATGTGGTTTAATTTCCAAGTGACTGGAAATTTTTACCTGTTATTTTTCTGGAACTGATTTTCTAGTTCAATTTCATTATGTCCCAACGGCACATGTTGTATGAGTTCACTTCTTTGAATGTGTTAAGATTTGTTTTATGGACAAGGGTACGGTCTATCGTGGCACATGTCTCACGTGCACTTATGTGTCTGCTGTTTTTGGGTGGGGTGCTCCGAAAATGCCAATTGGATCCAGATGGCTGTTCATATTGTTGATTTCTTCTAAATCCCTTGCTAATCATGTGTCTCCTTGTTCTAGCTGTTGTTGAGAAAGGCGTGTCGGAGTCTCCACTTCTGTGGATTTGTCTGTTTCTCCTTTGAATTCTGTCCATTTTTTCTTCATGTGTTTTAAAGCTACGTAGTTAAGTACATATATATACGGTACTGTTATGTCTTATTAATGAATAGACTTTTATGTATGTATTATTCCTCTTTATCTTTTGGCATTTTTTAAAAAAAATATGTTTTTATTAATGTCAGAGAGAGGGAAGGGGAGAGAGAGAGAGAGGGAAACGCCAATGATCAGTCATTGTTGGGCTGCCTCCTGCACGAGCCCACAACCCAGGCATGTGCCCTGACAGGGAATCGAACCCTGACCTCCTGAGTCCTAGATCGATGTTCAACCGCTGAGCCACGCCCGGCCAGGCTAGATGATATTATTTTTAAAAGTTATTTCAGAGAGAGGAAGGGGGAGAGAGAGACAGAAATATCAATGATGAGAGAGAGTCATCCATCGGCCACCTGGTGTGTGCTGTGTGCTGTGTGGCTGCTGTTTGTCTTGCTCGGCTCTGCCCGAGGTCCTCGGGCCTGGACTGACTTCATGACTTTAGAACACTCTTGGCCATGCTCCCTTCGAACACCCCTCTGCCCCATTTTCTCACTTCTGCCTCTGGAACGTCAGTCGCACACGTGCGGGATTACTCGATACGGTGACGCTGCTCCTCCTGCTCGGGTTTTAGAAAGATTGTCTCCTTTATATTCTCTGTGCTCAGGGGGTAACTTCCATGCCCCATCATGGGGCCCATGGGCTCCTCCTCACAGATGGGCCCAAGAAAGGGGGCACTGTAGGTCAGCTGCTGGCTGCTCTTTGAAGAGACGATGCTTTTTCCAGCATCTGCGCCCTCGGGTGCTCCCACTCCCAGGATTGTGGGACAGCCACCCTAGGGAGTCCCTCTACTTGTCACTCCCCTGTTCAAGGGGGAGCAGAGATGAGACGCGTTTTCTCATAAACCTTTACCGCAGTCACGTGGGCACCCGGCTGAAAGGGAAGCTGTCACTTTTGTTTTTGGTTAATTCTCACCCGAGGATATTCATTCCGTTGATTTTCAGAGAGAGTGGAAGGGGGGGAGGGAGGGGGCACCCCCTGCTCACTGGACTGTGGAAATTAACGGGCCGGAGCGTCTGCGGGGTGAATTCCCCGAGGCGGTGACATGAGGGCTGTGAGGGTGAGCACCCAGAATTGGGGGCGGGGACCTTCCTGACCGGGGCGCCCTCACCGCCTGGTGAGGTTCAGGACCACTGCTTTCCCCGGCTCCTGTCCGTCCACGGGCGTCGGTGGGCGGGTGCTCAACACTCTGGGAGGTCCTGGCAGATGGGGATGATGGAGGAACGTGTGGCCAGGGCGGGGCCGTGGGGGATGAGAGTCAGGCTCTGAGAACATCCTCCCGCGCTCGTCCCGCCTCCTCAGCATCTGGGCGACCCCCCGGCGAGCATTCTGCACGAGACCCCGGGCGGTCCTCCCCAGCCCGGCGTGAATAACCGGGATGCACCACTTTCCGATGGCTTCCCCTGTCGTGGATTCGTCCGAGAAGAAACCTGTTGTGTAGAGCCCGGTTCCAACGCATCGTCTCTCTCTCTCTTTTCAGCTTTATTGAGGCGTAACTGAAAAATAAAATTGTAACATATTTAAAGTGCACAGCGGGATGGCTTGAACTGTGAGCACCTGTGTCGGGATTTTCACAAGAGACAGTCAGCTGGGCAGGCGCCTCCTGCCTCAGGCTCCCCCCCCATCTCCTCCGTCTCCTGATTCGGGCGGGAACATGGAAGTTCTGCTCTGTCCAGGGTTTCAGTTGTGCTACAGGCTTTACCAACCTAGTCACCATGTTAAACAGTAGATCCTCAGACCTATTTACTTTATATCTGGAAGTCTGCCCCTTGACCAATGTCTCCCCATTTCCCCAGCTCCTGACGACCTCCATCTACCCCTTGTTTCTGAGTTGACGCCTTTTTTTTTTTATTCCACATAGAAGTGATATTAGGTCCCATTTTAAATATTTAATGAACGTCTACCTCAGTACAAACCGGATATACTTACCAAAGCATAACAACTTTTCCACCCTTAAGTTAAATTCACATGCACACATTCAAAAACTAGTGTTTGAACATTGCCTATTGCCTATTGAATATTGCCTATTGCCTATTGACTATTGGCTATTGTCTATTGCCTATTAACTATTGTCTACTGCTTTTTGCCTATTGAATATTGTCTATTTCCTATTGCCTACTGACTACTGAATACCTATTAAGCACTTGGCCCTGTTTTAGGGGCCGAAGATACAAAGTGAACAAGACAGGAAGAAATCTCCGCGCCCATGTGGGGCTTGCATTCTTGTGGGGAGAGATTGACAATGAATGAAATATTTCAGAAATGAAGGGTAGCAGAGAGCAAAGGCGGGCAGGCTTTGGGAAGGGGACGCCTCAGTGTCAGGACCCTGCTGGGGACCCACCTGAGACTCGGCTTTAAAGAAAGGTGGGCTCACCTGAGAGATGGGAATTAGCACAGGCTCTGGCCTGAGGGCACCCGGAGGGCAGGCTCTGCTTGGTTTGCTTAGATCAGTTTTTATTACTGGCCGTGTCTGTTAATAACTTTAATATTAAAAGAGGAACCCATTGGCTTCTGTGTTGGAAAGGGGCAAGGTCCACATATTGAACAGATAGTTTAATTCCTCTTTCGTTAAGACCTGAACTGAGAAAAATCAGTCTCTGAGGCCCCTCTGTGAGTTTAAGGCTCACTTTCTTCCTGGAGGCAGCGGGTGGCCGGAAAGCTGATGAAACCCAAAGATAACGGCTGTAAATTAGATTTTCCCCCCAAGGTAGGTCCCTCCTGGCAACAGGATAAAGGTTGGGTGTGCACAGCGCAGGGTAATTGGAGTTGACGGTTTTTCAAGTGGCTGAGATAACAGTTCCCGGAGATGGTGTGGTACCTGGGCAATGACGCCGGGTGGCTCGGGGTCTCGGCTCACCGGTCGGGTCGGGGCTGCAGGCCCTAGTGAAACATCAGCTGCATTCGGACCTCAGCCTCTCTCCTCCCCCGTGGAGACGGGAAGTCGCTCGTATCCTCTTTAGGAGGCTCCTTGAGTGCAGGACTCAATTCCATTTAAAGTCAGGCCCAAGGAGACCATGTTCCCAAACATTTAACAGGTGTTATCTTCTTTGTAATCACCATCAGAGCTAACATTAATTGAGTGGTATGTTTGCTTTGCGCAAAAATAGCTGGCATTTATGGAGTGCTACATTTTTTCCAGGCCAGCTCTGATAGCCTTATATGTATCAAAGTGGTCAAATGTATCATCTCATTCAAATGTATCATGTCATTCAAATGTATCACCTCTATCGTCATCACAGCCCTGTGCAGAGGACCCCATGTCACAGACACAGTTCAAAACAGAGAGGGTCAGTAACTTACCTAAGAGCACACAGCAAGTCAGCACAGAGAGGCGGGTGTGAGTCACATCACAGGGCAGATTAGAGCTGTGACTATAACTGAATGTGAGTGTGTGTCCAGGTATTTGAACTGGATCCGATACTCGTTCGTCTTGAGTAAACTGAGACGCAGGCTGGCCGGGGGGTCTGACTGTCACCGCGTTAGGAGCACCGTCCCGGATGTTGGGGAAGGGATCTGGGGTCTGCTGCAGCTGCACAGTGTCCCCTGTAAACAGTTTCACAGCTTCCACTCACCTCCGAAGGGGTTAAAGGGAGACCGGTGGCCAGCACTTATGTGGCCGCCCGTGGGTGGGGCTTATCTCCCTTGGCACCCATATATCACCTTCTCTCTTTCTCTGGGCAAACAGGACTCAGCTCTTCATGGAGTTTACGGCGTGTGGTGCCCGGTGTGTTTATTAATATTCACAGTGACTGGAGGGTGGGATGGAAAGGCAGCCCCCCTACGGCTGTTTGCTCTGCTCCTGAGCCCAGCGTCCTGCCGGTTCCCCATTGTTCTGAACAGACTGGAGTTAGGACCCAGGAAGGACAGTGCAGCCCCGGGATATAAATAGAGGACAGACCAGAACAAAGTTTGAGGAGACGGCCTGACATCACTCCCTCCCTCCACCCAGAGAGCCCGGAGCTGAGAGGTGGCTGCTTGAGTCAGACCAGAAGGACCTGGCCAGGCTCGGGGGCAAAGTTCCTTTACAAAGGAGTCCTCCTGATCGTCGGACTCCGAGGAGGGAGAAGCGGAGGAAACGTCGGGCTCCCAACCTGGACGGAGACAAATGAAGGCTGTGGACTGAGGCGGCCGTGAGCACGGGCTCCCTCCCTCCCTCACTGGGCTGGGCGCTGCCTGGGCTTGGCGGGCTCGCGGACCCTCTGGAGCAGGCTCGGGACCGTCCGGAGCGGGCTTCTCCGGCATTGCTCCTCCGCGCGGGTCTCTGCGATGGGCGTATTGATCACTGGAGACGCTCAAGGCTGGAGCCGCGGAAGAACCACACACTGACTCTCCCAGACGGCTGCCTTCAGAGACTGGACAGACACGGATTTTTTCTCTGTCTTTCAAGAACCTGTGACAATGTTCCTGTCCCAAGGACGTGAGAGTTAAAGGGACACGTTGTCGCCCACCCTCAGGAGCTCACGCGGCTCACGGTGAGCCCGGGGGACACCATGAGGGAGCCGCTGTGTGGCTGCTGGCCCTCCTGGCTGCTGCTCCTTTATTGCAATTTCCAGGTAACGTCCGGGCGGCCGGTGTTGCGGGGGGGCCGGCTCTGCTGGGCTGTTCTGGGTCTCACCTGTTGTGTTTTGTGTGCAGGTGCACTGGGCCCTCTCCAGGTCGCAAGCCCACCCAGGTAAGGGAGTTTCCTTCTCTCTCGGCGCTCCCTGCGCGTCCAGTCTCGCAGGCATCTGGGCGAAGTCCAGTTGTTTATCTGTAACACTGTCTGGGGTGGCCCTGCCATGCACACGGTGCTCGTCCTTGATGCCCGACCTCCATGCCCCCGAGCTGCCCCGGAGGGGCAGGTGCCTCTGTGCCCTGAACCTCTTGCTCTTAGTCACTCAGAACCTTGCGACTAAGGAAATGGAGGATTCTCCAGGGGAGCACCGTGCGTCTGTCTCGCGTGTGTGTGTCCAAGGCAGACCTACCTGGATGACTTAGAGTCTCGGTCCTTCAGTTTCACGGCACGTCTCCCCCTCTGTCACCGCCCTGGGTTCGGGCGCTTGATGCCTGCAGCCCCCTGATATCGGGGAGCAGCAGGAGGAACTGCCCCCCTCCCGGCCACCAGGCCCCCTGTCCTTTGCCGTGCGAGTCCTCCGTCTAGAGCGTTATGGAGAGGCTTTTGGGGGGTACGGAGGAGGCATACACGCTGTCATTAGAAGCTTGGGGACCACCTGTGCAGGTGGAGAGGCACAGACATGTGAGCGAGGGGCGGGCACGTGTGAATGGCCGGGATTCGCGTTGTGGGCGCTGTCCCCCATTGGCTGGCATGAGCGTGGTGGAGAGGAACCCCACACTAGTGGCCCCAAACCTGTGCTCGGAAGCCGTGAGCACAGCCCCGGACCTTGGTGGCGGGCCTATGACTCAGACCTGCAGGGGGGCCTGGGGGGCTCCCCCGGTTAGTCTCGCCAGTCACCCTGCCACCCCTGCGGACTGACCTTTAATGACCAACCAGAGGCTGTGGCACAGCCAACATGCCCAGCCCTGCCCAGGGTCAAAGCCAGGCCCTCAGATGGGGCCCTGTGTGAGGAGTGGACGCTCAGGGACCTGGTGGGGTGAGTCAGACCTGGGGTGGGACTTCTGTCCCCTCTGTGCTGTGATGCAACCCCGAGCTAGGACATGATGACCGTTGTCGCTGCCTCGAGGTATCGATGTTGCGGGAGAGGTGTGGCCACGTGTCCCTTGTCCGTGTGATCTGGTTCAGTCGTTGCTGGGAAAGGTGCGGAAACAGAGAATGTCCCCGGGCCGCCCTGTCCTGGGCCTTGAAGCTCACAGAGAAAGAGGCTTTCTGTGGCCTGGGGGGGATAAGTCATCCCGAGTCTTTTTAGGGAGAGGACACGTGGGCCTGAGACCTCCCCTTCTCCAGGGCAGCCTCGTGGGGGAGGAAATGACAGCGATGACAGGAGAGGGGAAGTCGTCCTCGACCAGGACCTTCGGACAGGGCGACGGGGCAGCCCCCCAGACCTGGCCGCTGCTCACAGTTAGGGAGGGGCTTCCACACACGTCCACACGCCTCCACACACGTGCACATACGCTTTACAGATAACTTTGGTGACGAGGAAAGGGAACTTGAACCAGGCGTTTTGCTTTCCAGAAGCCTCCCGGCCGTGGGGCACCCGGGGCAGCTGGCTCTGGTCCGCCTCCCGGAGGCCGCAGCGCAGCTCACCTCGCGGCCTATCAGAGGTTGGGGGAGCCACAGCGTATCATTGTAGTCATTCTAATTCCCTGCATTTTCTTGGTGGGTTTTTTTCTGTGCGAATAAATAGTCTGTTCTCTTTATTTTTATGTTTTAAATTGAGCTGTAACTGACAGGTGACATTGCAGCTGCGTCAGGTAGACCACACGGTGGTTTCTCGTGTGTGTCTATTGCGGGATGGTCACCACGGCAAGTCCGGTTCCCCTCGCGCCCAGCACAGGGCCCCGCGGAGCCGGGGGTCGCGCGGGTTGAACGGGGACTCGGTCGTGCCCGTGGGAGACGAGAGGTCCGGGCCGTGGGCTGGCCGCCCCCTCTGACCGACCGCACAGCCCGTGCCTTTCCGTGTGGACACCGTCCCTGTCCTCCTGGGCTTTGTAAGTGGACGGGACAGGAACACGGGGCTCCTTTTGTGACCATGAGGATCTGAAGACAACATCTGTTCCTCATACAACAGATGTTCTCTCTTCCGACTCACTGTCCCAGATGAGTTGAGTAACAAGTCAGGGCTGCTTCTCCCTCATCCCACGGAACAGCCTAGAAAAGGAAAAGCATGGCAGAAAGGGGAACAGATCTATTTGTTTACATTTTTATTTTTTGGTTAATCTTCACCTAAGGATATTTTCCCATTGATTTCAGAAAGAGTGGGAGGGAGGGAGGGAGAGAGAGAGACATCGATGGGCTGCCTCCCGCACGCACCCCGACCGGGGCCAGGATCGAACCTGCAACCCAGGTACGTGCCCTTGACCAGGAATCAAACCCAAGACCCTCCGGCGCTCAGGCTGACACTGTAACCACTGAGCCACGCCGGCCAGGGTCACCTTGACTTTTTTAACTTAACAATGTAACTCAGAGAACATTGTACCAGCCCATGTATCAGCCTCTCATTTATCTAAACCACACCCCAGTTCCCCCGCGGCAGCCTCCTGTTTATTGAGCCTGAGAAGCATTTAGGCTGCTCCGGGATTTTGATACAATGTATAAAAAACGTGCACCTGCGACAAACACCCCTGTGCGCAGGGCTTGGATCACACCCCTGCGTTTATCTCTAGAACAGCGACTTGCAACCGGTTTCACCTCGTGGCACGTGAACTAGTTACTAAAATTCTGCGACACACCAAAAACTATCTATTTTTGCTGATCTGACCAAGAAATAAGGTATTTTCATTCAGTCACACCGGACGGCTGTTGTTGTGTTGGCTGTTACTGTTTATTCGTTTGACACTGAGGGGAAAGAGGTCGGCGCCCCGACTAAACAGTCAGGTGTTGCATGTTTTAACAATCCTGGCTCTCGCCGGGTGAAAATCCCTGCTCCAGAAGTAACTCCTAGGAGTGGGATTACTAGGTCAAAGGGAGCGTGTGCTTAAAATTTGGACATGGAGATTGCCCTATTGCTCCCCAGAAAGGCTAGCCGAGCGGGAACTCCCACCAAAAATGGGTTAGAACTTGCTAATTCAGCACATCTGACTTTTTGCCTGTCCGTGTCTGTGACAGGCGAGCGCACTGTAGTTTCAACACCCTTTTTAAACCTCTGGGCAAGCTTCAGCCTCTTTTCATATATTTAAAAATTAGTCGCATTTCTTTTTCTTTGAACTATCTGCTTATGTCCTTTCCCCCAAAGTTCTTTTGGTTGAAATTTTCTCCATAAATGCAACACTCCTGATAAGAAACCAGTCCGTTTCTGTCCCGCGCGTCAGGCGACGTCTTCCCCCAGTTCTGTGTAACTCGGTTTACTGCTCTGTACAGGTTTTAAAAAATTTATGTGGTCAGATTTACAGCCGGTTTCCCTCAGAGGCTTTTCTGTTTTATTACATTTAACTTTCGATCCATTAGAAGTTGTTATAGTGGAGAGTGGGGCATGGGGATGGCTAATGGGCTCTAAGGCCTTGTGAGTAATGCGTCTCCTCTGAATTGAAATGCCACCTTTACCGTGAACGACATTTGCCTATGTGCTTGGGGACATGGACGGTATTTTCCCACAGACCTGTCTATCCCCGTGTCGTGCCAAATCGTATTTATTATGTGGTTTTACGACCAGGTTTCCTAGGGGCCAGTGTGACCTCCATTCTCTCCTGCCCCTCGATAGCTTTTCCTCGCTTCACTTGCTTATTTATTTTTCTACGTGAGCCCCACAATTGGCTTTCTCCCTCACACATACACACACGCACCAAAAAAACCAAAAAAACTCTTGGCATTTTTACAAGAAATTTCCCAATATTTATGTATCAATTAAAGGATAGTTGATAATTTTATGGTTCTGTACTCGAGGATTTTTTTGTTGTTAACCCTTCGCCCGGGGATGTTTTTTCCGTTGACTTTTGGAGACGGTGGAAGGGAGGGAGGGAGGGAGACGCGTCGATGGGCTGCCTCCCACATGTGCCCCGACCGGGGCCGGGATCGAGCCTGCAGCCTGGGTGCGGGCCCTTGACTGGGAACCGAGCCCTTGGCCCTTTGGTGTGAAGGCCGGCGCTCTGACCGCTGAGCTACGCCCGGCCGGCCCGCTGTTGTTTTCCTCCAGGGAACTTGGTACAGCCCTTATCTCCCGTCTGTGTTTTCTCTTTATCGGACGCAGTTACACCTGAGAGCATCTCCTCCGTGGCTCTCAGCATTGCCGATCGAGCGCAGGGAACCGTGGGACGCCCGCCTGTTAGATCTGTGTCCGCCGCCTCGTCACATTCCTTCGTTGTTTGTAACAGTTTTCTCACTCGACCAAATTCTTTTCTCGTTTGTAATGGTTTTTCGCTTTTGTTAATAGGCGCACATCGCTCAAAAAATAATCCCATTATCTGCTCTTTCAAAAATTTTTATTACTGCAAATAAGCACAGAGGTCACTTTATTAATTTTTTTGTGTCCTGTGACCTGGCAGACACTGAGGACGGTTGATTGGTATTTAGTCATCTGGACGGTTGTTCCAGTTCTGGGAAGTGATCCCAGAGAGAGCTGAGGGGCGAGGAGATCCGCGGAGGGGGCCGGGCTGCGCGTGGACGGACGGGGCGGCCCCTCGGGGGGGCTGTCACCAAGCTCACCAGGAAGCCTAGAGAAAAGCAAATAAACACAACAAACAACACGGCACAAAGGGGGAAGAACACTCCAGAAAGGAGCGCGTCGGCACAAAACCGTGTCTGCTCAGAGCAGAGGGACCGCGCAGGAAATTGCGAAACGATTAAAATGAAAAAAAAATGATTAATGTTGAACGTTGGAGGAAACAGAGATAACAGAACAACTGGACCGAGTGGAGAGAGGCTCCTGAGTGAGCGACTAGGCGGAGTCCAGGGCCGTGGGGGCATTTTACCCCCCAGACGGCTGAGGATACAGTTGCCCTCTGGGTTATTGTGAGGGTGGTGAGGCGGGCTTAGCAGAGGCTACATTGTATCAGCTGCCCTCCCCCTTCTCCAGCCGTATTTCCTGCTCCCGTCTGACTGCCTCAGGTGTTTCTTCTCAACAATACTAAGTAACAAGGTGATGGACCCTGGCTCCTTCTCTTTCCCGAGAGTCACGGGCGTGTGGCTGCTGTTGCTCCATTAAACGTGGAGGCTTCATTTTCTTTGGATAAAAAGTAACTATCTATCTATCATCTATCTATCTATCTATCTATCTATCTATCTATCTATCTATCTCTACTTATCATATTAAAGAAATATTGGCCCTTTTTTAAAATATGTCTTGCCCAGCCAGGCGTGGCTCAGCGGTTGAGCATTGACCTAGGATCCAGGCGACCTGGGTTCGATTCCGGGTCAGGGCACGTGGCCAGGTTGCGGGCTAGCCGATCAATGACTCTCTCATCGTTGATGTTTCTATCTCTCTCCTTCCCTATCCTTTCCTCTCTCTGAAATCAATAAAGATATATTTTAAAAATAAAATTAAAATAATAAAATAAAATTCTTCTTTATTGATTTCAGAGAAAAGGAGACAGGGAGAGAGATAGAAACGTCAGTGATGAGAGTCATTGATCGGCTGCCCCCTGCACGCCCCCTACTGGGGATGGAGCCCGCAACCCGGGCATGTGCCCTGACTGGGAATTGAACCGTAATCTCCTGGATCCTACATCAATGCTCAACCGCTGAGCCACACCAGCTGGGCTTGATTTATTTTTAATTCATTAGGAGTTTTTTTTAACCAAGGGAGAGTATTGAATTTATTCAAACTTTTTTTAGTATGTTCCACAGTCACTGGGCGACTTTCTGCCCCCACCTGCCCCAGCTCAGGGCGCAGGTGCCCAGCCATGCGTCGCACTTGGTCCCTTCCTCCCTAACTTGGAACTCACATCCTTATTTTCTGCCCCAGGGTTCGAGGTCCTGCTTACTGCTTCCCATTACTGGCCCCTGGAGCACGTCGACGGCATCCACGAACTTCAGGAAACAGCTAGAGGTAGACGCGGGTGGTGAGGACGCCTGAGGCCACGGCGGGGGGGACTCGGGGATGGGGGGGCACTGGGAGGGCCACCTGAGCAGCATCTGCGTGGAAGCCAGGGCGCTGTGCCCCCCCCCATAGTCATTGCTATTCCAGAGTTTCAGACTAGAATATAAATGCATTTTTACGACGGAAGGTCGGAATTGATGATTCAGGACATTACAGTGTACGTTTTCCCAACAGCCTTAAATCAGAAGCCACCGTCTTGAGCGTTAAGCTGTAGGTGGGTCCAGGTGTGCGTTCCCCAGGGACGCGGGACCGGCGTTACCCCCATGCCTGTCCGCAGGGGCCCACGTGAAGCAAACCGGGGGCCGAAGGCTGTGCTAGCTGAGGCTCCCATGTTCACAGGTCACAGTCCCACTCGGCAAGGGTGCCCCCACCTGCCAGTCAGCTGCTCCGCAATCACGGCACCTCCCCTTTGGAAAGATCGGCACCACCTCCCATGCTCCCGATGGTCCCACTTCCACGGAAATTGGCTCCATCTGACTCAGTTTGGACATTTGGCAGAAGGAGAAACCCCAGACAATCCTGAGCCCTTTTTTTTCTATTCCAATCAGAACTTTTAAAAAGGGTATATTCTGAGCGATTTGGGATGCTCTTACGTTTTCATTTTTGCTTCCTTGGCTGCTCTTGTTAATTCCACCTGAGGAGGTTTTTTCCATTGATTTTTAGAGAGTGGGAGGGAGGGAGGGGGAGAGAGACACATCGATTGGCTGCCTCCTGGGAGCCCCGGCTGCGGGCTGGGGATCGAACCCGCAACCCAGGTACATGCCCTTGATCGGAATAGAACCCCGGACCCTTCGGTGCTCAGGCCGACGCTCTAACCACGGAGCCACACCGGCCAGGGTTCGCTGTGCAGCCAGCCTGGCGGTGCTCAGATTGTGTCTACACTGGTCTGTGGAATGGATTTTAAAAAAACCAGCAACCACACATTGCTGATTATTACGTTTTCCACAGCAGCCCTGGTGTGCTCCTTGTTCCTGCCACTTAATGTGCCCCATAAATTGCCACCTGATGGTCCGACACGTTCCCCGTAGCATTTGCAAACTGAGAAGCGTTACAGCCGAGGTCCGAGCCCCTGGCGTCCTCGGAGCGGGAGGCGGTCGAGGGGCAAGGGCGGTGGCGACCGCCATGGCGGGAACAGTCCCGCGGCTCCGTGTTTTCTCCGCGCAGCACATCCGCGCTGGGGGACGACAGCCGTCCCTGCGGAGGTTCATCACGCGACTCGCCTGGGCTGAGCGACACAGCTCCCCGTGGTTCTAACGTGATCTTCCCGGGGCCTTTATTTCAAAGCCGCGGCAAGGACGTCATTCCGCCGAGCGGAAGGCGTGGAGACGGCTCGTTGTCAGGGCCCAGACACTAAAACCAGAGGAGCCATTTCCCACAAGAGCTCAGATCACGACCGCATGTTTCTCTCCCCGCCCCCCGGTTCATCTGGTTGTGGTTCAGCCGGTCCCTTGTGGTGTCTGGGGAAGTTTTACCTACGAAAACCCCCTCCTGTTGGCGACACCATCACCCAGACACAGCGGCACTGGGACCGAACTGTGTCTGCCCCACGCGCCCCTTCGCTTCCTGTGAGGGCCTCGCTATATTGACGTTTGCCCCCAACCGCCCCGGTGATGAAGGCCTCGCGGCAGCCCCGCGTCGCACCCGTGGCTCATGGCACGTTTCCGTCCGCGTGGGGAAAACCGCGGCCCGAGCCGGGACAGCCATGCGGCTGCGGGACGCCTCACGGACGTGCGGCTCTGGTATCTGTTGCTGGGTCCTCTGTCGTTTGTGCACTTGTCGTAATACCACCTTCTTGTTCTCATGCCGTGTTTCTGTCCCGTCCGTGCCTGTGACATCACCGCCATTAACCCCCCATTAAGGTTCTCGTGTGTCGAGTTCAGTTTCATCTCTCTCAACCGAACGTTCAGGGGGGCGGCGGAGCCAGCTGGGGGGGCCACGGTTCGTGGCCAGATTCCGTGGCCATCACGCCGTGGGACCCGCCACGGGCCACGGGGGCGTGGGCCGCTACGTGGCTTGGCCACGAGAGGCAGGTGGAGGGGGTCCGCGGTGGGGGAGGTTGAGAGACGTGTCCGTGCCTCTGTGTCCCGTGTCACTCACTCGTTGTGCTTTTCTCTTTTGTTGTCCACCCAGCATGGCGAGCCCACAACCTCACCGTGCTCGCTCCCCATAACGCTACCCTTGTGCCTACCAATGACTCTGCCTACTCAAATTCCTCTGCGACCGTAGGTGAGCCCGCGCCCGCGCCCGCGCCCGCGCCGCCTGCTGCCCCGCGGCACCCGTGAAATGAAAGGTTCTGTGAGCACCCACTGCTTCCCGCTGGCGAACGCACTCACACCCGGGGACGGAGAAGCCCGGGGGGGATTAGGTTGTTTTTAATATGTTTTTAATGATTTTTTGGAGAGAGAGAGAGAAAAACATGGATGAGAGAGAAACATCATCGCTCGGCGGCCTCCTGCACGCCCCCGACTGGGGATCGAGCCCGCAGCCCGGGCATGGGCCCCGACCGAGAATCGAGCTGGGCCCCCCTGGTTCACAGGTCGACGCTCAACCGCTGAGCCACACCAGCCGGGCAAGACCCAGGGTTTCCGCAATGCCCTGGAAGCTGCCTGCGATCTTTCAAGGGACCAGGCTCTTCCAAACCGGCTGCTCATTTTCAGGACAAAACGGACACGAGACGGGAGGTTGTCTAAAAATAGAGATTGTTTGGATTTCTAAAGGGATTGTACTCTTGAGGGGAGGAAAAGCCAGCCCTTTTGACTTTAATGGGAAGTCGAAGCTGATCTTAAAATCCCTCGTAAAACATTTGATCCCTTACAGACATTCACATCAGCATTTCTTCCGTTAGCTGGAAATTCTTTTTACTCGATAGAGGCTGTTTTAGAAAATGCGCACCCATTAGAGTCATGGCGAACTAGTTATATTATTGAACAACCGCCAGAGCCCGTATGTTTCACGTTTTTCCCGCCCCCCGCGCAGCTCAGGGCGAAGGGCGCCACGGCCGTCGTGGGACCGGTCTGAACGGTGTGGGACGTGGGGCCGGATACCCCGGGTGCCGCACTCTGGCCTCTTCAACGTATAGCCACTCGCCCCCTCCGCGGGGAGGCGCTTGGCCTCCAGAGTCAGCGTCGCCCAGCAGACAGTCTGGTCGAGGGCCTCATGCGGCCTAACGCAATTACCGCACCGCCGGCTGTCCCTCCAGACACACGGCCAAGCGCAGGCGAGGTGTCGAGGAGACTTTGCCCCCGTCAGCCATAAACGCCTGATGGCTCCCGGCTTTTACAGCCCTCGCTTATCGGTTCTGTAAACCAGTGACTTTCAACTTTTTCATCTCCTGGCACATGCACTGATCGCTAAAATTCTGGGGCACACTCAAAAACAGATTTTTTTTGCCGATCTGACCAAAAAAAAAGGTACCCTTTGGATTCATTCCACCAGATGGCTGTTGTCCTTTTTAAAAATTTGACAGTTTAAGGGAAAAGAGGTCAGTGCCCCTGCCTGGATAGTCGGGTACGGCATGTTTTAAAAATCCTCGCGACACACTGTACCACGTAGACCACGGACGTCACACTCGCCCCATCCCACGCCGTCGATACGAGAAGGCGACAGATGGCGGAGCACAGTGCCTCGGCCGGGACGCAGGGCGCTCAGTCTGGGTTTCCCTCCAAGAGTCAGGAAATGGATTTAATAATTTAAAAAAACCGCGAGTTTCCATGTCTGGGATTAGGGGCTGTCTTGTTTTCATGCCTGGCGATCTCCAAAAAAAGAGAGAGGTTAGCTGTCGCTTCACGTCCACACCCGTTGGGCGCATTTTACTCGGGGACTTGACCTTGAAGCTGCCGTGGGAAGGGCCTGCTGATGGAGTTGAAGGTCCGGACACCATGTGTTACGTAAGGGCTGTAATTACATTGCCCCTGGCAACTCAACCGTTGGCCGATAGAATCATTATAGTATCGTGATAGTGTAGGACTGATATAATATTCACTAATATAGATGTTAATTGATATTAATTTATAACTTACTATTCACATCAACTTATAGGCCATTTGTAATTCAGTTATTAATAGCTAAATATGAACCGATACAAGTATCTCATAGTAACGTGCTATTAGAGATATTGAATTAGAAACACGAATGGCACGGCGTGTTTACAGGTGGGGGCGTCTCTAGACTCCCGACCCCGCGGGGCTCCTAACAGCCGATGTCGCCTTTCTCACACAGACGTCGTGGAAGGCAAGCTGAACAAGGGCATTTACCTCAAGGAGGGGAAAGGCCTCACGCTGCTCTACTACGGCAGGTACGCGACCTCCTGCATCAGCAACCCCACCCAGTGCGGCCCTGAAGGTGAGTGGCCCGGCCATTCCGCGTCGGTTTGGGGTTTTTTTACCGCGTTTCATTGTCAGGCGGCAGATGTGACCGTGGAGTCCTTGTGCCTTGCGGGCTCGTGAATGGATTTTTTACTTTCCTGAGACAAGCCACCTGCCCCCTAGCACCTGAGCTGCAGAGAGTGGACGTCTGGGCCGCACCTCAAAACCCTCTGGGAAATGGTTCTCCGCATCCAGCCGGCTTCAAGCCTCCAGGTTACCCTAAGCAGAAGGAAAATGTGTTTTTCTAGGGGGGACATAAGGGCTTGAGGCAGGCCCGTCTGAAAGCTCGCGGGCCATGTGGACATTCGGTTGCTCTGTTGGAGGCGCGTCGCGATGAATTCGTGGGCAAGATGCTGGGACCGACGCCCTGTGTGTTTCCTGTCGTCTTTCCCTGGCCTCTGTCTCTGTGAGGGCAGGGGCTGTGTGGGTCTTGGCCATTGCTGCACTTAAAGGGATGGAAATCCGCATTGAGGATGCTTAATCCGTTTTTATTGAACAAATACATCTAATTTTGCTGAGGCTTAGATCCCTTTAAACGCTTCTCCACCCCTGTTTGATGGACTGCCACTTGAATGCCACCAGTGACGGGCCGCTCACCACCCCGACTTTGCACGCCTGTGACGTTAGAAAGTTATTTCTGATGTTGGACTAAATTCTATCTTGAGAAACTCCCACCCACGACTTCTGAGTCCAGTTCAACCCCAAACCGCCGGCTCCTCCCAGAAAGACCGTCTTCTGTGTTACCCATAAGCACGCCCTCCCTTCCTGCGAACNAGAAAGACCGTCTTCTGTGTTACCCATAAGCGCGGCCTCCCTTCCTGCGAACGCACCTGCTGTATTTCCTCACGAGCTTATAAACACGCCGAAGGCAGAGGGGCCTCCGTGGTGGCAGCCGGACAGTCTCAGTGTTCACGTCCCCCCTTTGCATCAGGAGACTCGATACAAAAAGCTGTGGGTTCAATCCCTGGTTGGGGAGCATACGGGAGGTCCCTCTCTCCCTTTCTCTCTNCCTGCGAACGCACCTGCTGTATTTCCTCACGAGCTTATAAACACGCCGAAGGCAGAGGGGCCTCCGTGGTGGCAGCCGGACAGTCTCAGTGTTCACGTCCCCCCTTTGCATCAGGAGACTCGATACAAAAAGCTGTGGGTTCGATCCCCGGTTGGGGAGCATACGGGAGGTCCCTCTCTCCCTTTCTCTCTAAAAAATCAACAAAAACGTACCCTTTGGTGAGGGCTTTTTAAAAAAAATCTATGCTGCTTTGTATCTACATCCCAAGTGCCCGGAGCAAATTCCCTCAAGATGCTGACGTGGGCTCGTGAACCTGTGAAGACTCGGTGGGAGCGTAAATGGAAGTTTAAATAGAAGCCGTTGTCCAGTGGGGGGCAATGACCTCACCGACAAGCTGGGCTCCGGCACCGCTCTCTGCCTTCGCTCCCTTCATCTCACACCAAGTTGAACGTTTTATTTTCCTTCCTGGACAGGAAGGCGTTTGGCCAAGACAGGATCGAATGAAACGAGCTTTTAAATGCAGTGAAGTGTTTGGAAGAACGGACTTCCACGCTTCCCACGGGAATTCGTTTCATAACAAACATTTCGCAATGTGCCCTGTTCTTTTTCCTGCGAAGCCGGTTGTTTCTGAGGCTGGAGAGGCCCAGGTCGGGGAGTCGGGTGTACCCTGGGCTCAGCGGCCGCCCCCGGGCAAGGCCAGCGGGAGACATCGGGGTGATGCCGCCTTCACGGGGAGCAGGCCCGGGACAGCTCCGCTGCCCTTGAGCAGCCTCGAGAGCCCGTCTGTCAGGGTGACCACGGCACAGGGCACCTTTGAGGACGGCTCACCGTCCTAAGTGGCCCTGAGAACGTCCCCCCTGAGCCTCTCCGAGGTCAGGGAAGGCCCAGGCCCCTCCCATATATTTTGCTGTTGTTAATACTCACCTGAGGATATTCTTTCCGTTGATTTTCAAAGAGAGAGGAAGGGAGGGGGCAAGAGAGAAACATCGATGTGAGAGAGACACACCCATTGGTTGCATCCCACACGCGCCCCGGCTGGGGCCGGGGTTCGAACCTGCAACCCAGGTACGTGCCCTTGACCGGAAATCGAACCCGAGACCCTTCAGTGTAGGGGCCGGTGCCCTAACCACTGGGCCACACCAGCCAGGGCAAGAGAGGGTGGTGGTTTTAACAAACTTGCCCGTTTAGAATGCGCTGCGGACATGAAAATGACGGCGCGGAAATGAGTCCGGGGCGTGGGCAGCTGGGCCGGCGGCTGCTTCCTCCGTGAACTCTGTTTAGAGAAGAGACCCTGGGAGGAGCTGCCTCGAGGGCGACGTCTCTGGGAGAATCGGAGGAACGAAAACACGATGGTGTCCGCTGAGGGCCAGGGCTCTGGGGCCAGAGGGCTTGAGGTCGACCGGAATCCTAATCAGTCACGGGTTTAGTGGCCTCAGGTTCTTCATCTGTGTAATGGGTTTTCCTAACAGCCAGGAGGAGCTAATCCGTTTAAAACTCTTAGAAGAGTGCCTGGCACTCAGTGAGCTCTCAATGAATGTTACTATTGCTTTTATTTCTGTATTTTCTGGGTTTAATAGACACCGTCTCTAGAACGAGCGGGATGGCCTCAGGCCCCTTCAGCTTGTCCTCGATCATGACCCGACGCCTCTCCCTCCCCCAGGGGTCACGTTCTCTTTCTTCTGGAAGACGCAAGGCGAGCAGTCCAGGCCCAGCCCCTCCGCCTACGGGGGGCAGGTCATCTCTGACGGGTTCAAAGTCTGCTCCAGCGGCGGCAAGGGCTCCGTGGAGCTGTATACGCGGGACAACTCCATGACGTGGGAGGCCACCTTCAGCCCGCCAGGTGAGGACGCCGCCAGCCCCGGGGGCTGCTGGGAGACCCTTCCGATGACAGGAGCCGAGGAGCCCTGGCACAGAGCCCGCTCCCTAAGGCGAAGCCTGGGGAGACTTCCCGCAGGGGGCTGGCACCTGGGGCAGGTGGGACAGGGCTGGGCAAGTGCAGGTGTGGCTGTGTGTGCATGTGTGCGCGCATGTGTGTGCGTGTGCATGTGTGCGTGTGTGTATGTGCATGTGCGTGCATGTGTGCATGCAGGTGCGTGCGTGTATGTGCATGTGTGCATGTGTGCATGTGCATGCATGTGCGTGTGTGCATGTGTGTGTGTGCATGCGTGTGCGTGTGTGCTAAGCTAGCCATCTGCCTGGACTCGGTGTGTAAAAGGTGGAGGTAAATCCAGCTGCCTCAGCCTCCCCACCCGACGGGCTCTTGGTGACGGGAGAGTCAGACCTGCTGTCCGGACGCACCCGAGGTGACAGGGACCAATCACCTCGGGAGGGGGCTGTGCCTGAAGCCGGGAGAAGCACGCCTGGCGCTCGCTCGTTCCCACACCAACAGCGCCCTCTGCTCCTTCCAGGGCCCTACTGGACTCACGTCCTGTTCACGTGGAAACCCAAGGAGGGCCTGAAGGTCTACGTCAATGGGACCCTGAGCACCTCGGACCCCAGCGGGAAGGTGTCTCACGCCTACGGGGAGCCCAACGTCAACCTGGTGATAGGCTCCGAGCAGGACCAGACCAGGCGCTACGAGAACGGGGCTTTCGACGAGTTCATCATCTGGGAGCGGGCGCTGACCCCGGACGAGATCGCCATGTACTTCACGGCGGCCATCGGTCAGTGAGGGGACAAGGGGGCGAGGGCTGGGGTCTGTTCCTGGGGGCACCTGCGTATCGGCCCCCCCTTCTCAGTGACTGGAGTCTGTTTCTCTTGGTTCCTTATTTATTTGAGAAGGTTGAAAGCTTATGTTAAATCGCCCTTTTATGTGGTGATTTGCAAGAAAAGTGCTCAGANCCTTATTTATTTGAGAAGGTTGAAAGCTTATGTTAAATCACCCTTTTATGTGGTGATTTGCAAGAAAGGTGCTCAGGAGCATCTGAGGATACAAATGGAAAAATAATTCGACCTGGGAAATGCAGACAGACTCTCCACGAGGTCATTTATTAGCCTGTATCTCCCCAGAAGCCCCTGCTCAGGGCGCCCCCGGTCCTCTCAGCTGTGCCGAAGCCGGCGGATGTTTTATTAAGGACAGAGCTTCCTTAGGATGAAGGGGAGCCCGTGCCCGGGTCCCTCACCCGACCGTCTCGTTTTTCCCCAGGAAAGCACGTGTGGCTGTCTTCCACGCCGCTGAGCCTCCTCGCGACGCCCACGGCCAGCACCCTGGTGAGCAGACGCTGCACCTGTGTCCCCTCGTGTTGGGTCTTTTTGCCGGGACCCTGGGCCAGACTGAAACCCCTTTAGACAGTCCGCTGTGTCCCTCGCGAGCGTGGTGTCTGGGAAGACGTCCGGCATGGAGGGGAGGCCGGCGTGGGTGCTGAGCTGGGTGCTGAGGGTCACCGACCAGAAAACTCCGCTTCGTGTGGGCGGTTACCTCCGGTGCCGAGGAATCAAGACGGAAAGGCGGCCTGGGGACAGCCGGGCACTGGGGCCTCGCCCAGGGCAGGTGGCACAGTGGCCCCCCCTCCGCTTCCCTGCACCACTGTTGGAGGACAGGGTCCATTCCTGCAGAAAACGCCCCCGTCTGGGATTTGCGTTTGTAATCAGGCAGCTTTTCTTGGGAGCTCTAATGAAATAGCGGCTTGCAGAGCAGCCACCTGCTGGGGTTCAAATTCTAGTTGCCGCACTAAGTGCTGCCTAATTCCCTCATCTGAGAAATGGGTGGGTGTCTCATAGGCGGTCGTGGAGATGAGCGTTAACACAGGCGACGTGTCCGCCGAGCGCCTGGCGTGTGCTACGGGGCCACCCTCGCCGTCGCCGGGCTGTGATGACCCTGAGGCCCAGGGGCAGGTGGACGTGGGGACGGCAGGTGGGCATCCGGTCTTAGCAGGAGCTCAGGGCGCCGATTTCTTTCCTGCAGGTGCCCACCGATGCCTACCACCCCATCATCATGAACCTGACGGAGGAGAGGAAGAACTTCCAGAGTCCCGGGACCGTCCTGAGTTACCTTCAGAACGTGTCGCTCAGCCTACCCGACAAGTCGCTGTCGGAGGAGACGGCGCGGAACCTCACGGAGGTGAAGCTCGGGCTGCGGAGCCCGGGGCGTGGGGGCGGCCGCCAGAGCGCAGACGACAGACGGGCTCGGTTGGACCTACACAGAGTTTTTTTAAAAATTAGACACTTTGACATAAAAGTCTGGGTTTCAGGCTTGTCACAAGCAGCTAGGTGCTGGGGCCTCTCCCGCCGACTCTGACAGCCCAGTGGGGCCCTGACGTCATTTCCCCTCCGATTTCCCTCCTTTGTTCATAGAACATTCTGGGTCCCGGAGATCCAACCGCTTTCTGTGTCCAACAGGCTCAGGGCTGAGGCGATAATGACGGGCCCAGCTCCGTGTCCCCGGGCAGGTCCTTCGACCTCTGCGAGCCTCAGTTTCCCCACCTGCGGCGTGGGGCTAAGCCGGCCACCGGGGGCTGTCTGTGAGCAGGGCTGACAGACACGGGCAGGGACCTGACGGTCTCAAGGCTCCCAGCTGAAGGACGCGTGCTAAGGGGGTCGTTCTTTCTGCCCGTAGACTTTCTTGAAGACGGTGGGGGAGGTCCTGCAGCTGCCCAGCTGGACGGCCGTGTCAGAGGTGAGCGGGGACGGTCAGACCTTCAAAACGCACCTGCCTGGGGAGCCGTCCTGTCTTCCCAGGAGGGGCTTCCCCCGGCCCTGTCCACGTCTGATGGGGCTGCCTCCACGCTGACCTCCGGGGTTGCTGGCAGGGGTGGAGGGGGTGAGGGGCCCCCTACCCGCCTTGCCCAGAGAGACCTCGCCCCCCCCCC